CACAGCTAAAGATTAATCACGTCTATGATGGGGAGATGGATTCCTGCTCTCTCTCTCTCTTTCTCTCTATCTCTCTCTCAGAGCTGGGGGAGAGATATAGGGCTCAATATATGAGATCTGTATCACAGTAAAACACCATTCTGATTCTGCACAGTTTGGCAGATATGATCAATGGTAGGCTGCAACTAGCTCTCACAGTCTCAAGACAGAATTAGATGTCCATCCAAGTTTCTCAAACATCACATTTCGAAGTTGTTGTAAAGGTCAAATTTCGAAGTGTTTAAGGTTACGTTTAGGCATTAACTCAGGAATCTTAAGGTAAGGGTTAACGTTTGGGATAGGCTTAAAACAAAAATCTCAAAAACAACTTTCTATCACTGGATTACAACTTGCAACCTTTGGAATCAGAGGCAGATGCTTATGCCCATCCGCGTCCACAACGCCCTAGCAAAACCGAAACCCACTTGAAGGTAACCGTGCTCAGACATGGTTGGACGTCGAATACTGACTTGTATCATGGGTGACCTAGATGCAACTACTGCGTATTGACAGGTTTTATGCAGTATGGGTCCACTAAATTAACATTATGCATGTTGCATGAGTGTCAGGTACGAACATTCAACACTAAATCTTCAGCGTCCACTGCGTCTCATGTTTCAAAACTCACACGGGAGGGATGCATTAATAAAACAAATATCCTCACCTGTCCTTTTACCAGACTTGCCGCAAATTGTCTCATCACGGCTTCCACTGTGTAGGCGCTGGACCATCCGCGGGGGGTTAACAACTCCATACATATCGCTCCCCCGTCCAGCACGTACCCGTTTTCCAACCGGGGGGTGAGCACCCGCATGAAAGGCGGAGAGAACGGGAAATTGTCGGGGAAAGAGACATTCAGCAGTATGAACTCGGTGTTTGTTTCTTTCATGTCCTGCCACAGCGCCGAGTCTTTGTCCACCTGGTGGAGCTTGACGTTCCAGTCAAATAGATTGTCGTCAACCAGCTCGACCGTTATAAAGTTGTCTCCCAACCGCCGGATTTCCTGGAGTTCCTTCATGAGTCTCCTCGTCCGGACTTGGGTGCAGTGCTGCCGTTGAGGGGCTAGTGGTGGTATTGAGGCACTGGTCGCTGATTTTCCAACCCCGATCCCACCTCCTCCTCCGCTTCCCATCTGCTGTTTCTCATTGGTGTCCTTGCCCTGTTGCTTATCCTTTACGGACGGTTTGTCCTTGCTGCTGTGCTGGTCCAGCTTCTTCGCTTTGATCTCGGGGGTGCTGAGGATGTTGTTCGTCTCGTTAGTGGTCTGACAGTGCTGCTTAGTGTTGTTCTTCGTGTTCCCCTTGGTCCCCTTTAGCGAGCCCTGGTGATGCTTGGGGTCCTCTGTGTCCCGGTCGTGAAGACGAATCAGACCGATTTTCCGCAGTAGAGTGGCCATTATGTTTTCGCCGAGCGCAGGACGATCGAGATTCACGATTCTCCCTTTATAGCCAACAACTGATGTTATTTGGTGAAACCGTAAAAAAACGTCAACCGTGTGCCGCAATCCCTCAGCTATACTGCAGCCTCTGGACAGACGCTTGCATGTAGCCTTTCTTCAGTGCATTATTCCGACGAGGTCCGACTGAAAAAACACAAAAACCATTAATAAACCGATGAACTGCTGTCTAATCGATTTGCAGTCTAATAAATCTGCCACTGAAGATAAAAAGAATCATATTCAATAGTAGCCTAGTGGACTGACTGTGTTGTGGCTACTGACTGCATTCCAAGTTGCAATGGCTGCTTAATATCTCTGCTATTATCCAATAGGCTACACAGGGCACCGAATAGATAGCTGCTTTGAAATATGCCTATACAATGTTATTTATGTTATAAACGGTTATAATTAACACATATAACACCAGCTTCTCTATTTTAATATAGCCTACACATCGACTTACCATTTACAAGTCCGTTCGGAAAAATGTAGCCTTTGCGACGAAAAGGCGAATCTGCAGCAGCTATTACAGCGGAGAGAGGGATATGAAACGGTTACCATCCAACAAAGTTCCCGTCGATGTGACCTGGAAGAGCGTTGCTAAAGCCTTTGATGTAACTGCAGCTGCCGCGACACTGTTTCTACTGAGGACGAACCAACTCCACTAATCCTTGGCGAGGATTTACACAATCCTCGTTAGCTCGCTCACACACAAGTAGCAGTAGCGGAACGGAACGACCTGCCAGACGTGGGTTGGCTTCCGCCGCTCTACCTTGTTGGAATGGATAATGATGTGGACTGGAGAGAGAGGGCAAGATGTGGACGGAAGAGGAGAGAGTGAAAGTGGGCTGGGCTTTTTTAGTCAATGTCATCCTATCATAGCCGATACATAAGGTCGTTTTTCCCAGTCCCCTATAGATCTCCCCATTGCAGGCCTAAATGCCTCAGGGTGGGGGTAAATTCCATTTCAATTCCAGTCAAGTCAGAAAGTAGGGTGATGTCAGCATTAGTGGGACATCAGGTGTAGTGGTACATTTGTGTTTGACGGTACTGTTCTGTGTTAATTTTGCAACCCAATCACAACAAATGTTATTGGGTTGTTGCTGAATCAATTCAAATGTTATTTGTCACATGCTTCGTAAACAACCGGTATACTAACAGTGAAATGCTTACTTACGGGCCTTTCCCAACAATGCAGAGACAAAAAAAGAGAAATAATAGAAAAATAATAACACGAGGAATAAATACACAGTGAGTAACGATAACTTGGCTATATACATTTACATTTACATTTTAGTCATTTAGCAAACGCTCTTATCCAGAGCGACTTACAGTTAGTGAGTGCATACATTTTTCATACTGCCCCCCCGTGGGGTACCAGTATCGGGTAGATGTGCAGTGGTACGAGGTAATTGAGGTAGATATGTTGGGTGAATTCGGAATAAGTGGGACACATTTTGCATTTCCTTTTTCTGTAACCTCTTTCGACATTTACCCAACATACAGTATTAGCCCAACACATGATACATTAACATTTCTGAAATCCTCAACACTGAGTCAAAACCATATTTTCAGTTTGCATTTGATAAACTGGGACACCATTATTATAGTCCTAATTGTACCCCAATGACAATTAAATTAAATTGTGTATGATTAGGAAACTTCTGAGGATTTCAGAAATGTATGATGTGTTGGGCTAATATATTGGGTATACACTGAGTGTACAAAAGAGTAAGAACACCTTCCTAATATTTATTTTGTCAGACCAAGAAATAAACGCGTCAGGATTAAGCTGATGTCCTACTCTTTCTGAATTCACCCTACATATAGGTAGGGAAAAGTGATTAGGCAACAGGATAGATAATAAATAGTAGCAGCAGCATATGTGATGAGTCAAAAGTGTTAGTGCAAAAGGGTCAATGCAGATAGTCTGGGTAGCTATTGGTTAACTATTTAACTAACTATTTAGCAGCCTTATGGCTTGGGCGTAGAAGCTGTTCAGGGTCCTGTTGGTTCCAGAGTTGGTGCATCGGTACCGCTTGCCCGTGCGGTAGCAGAGAGAACAGTCTATGACAAGGGTGGCTGGAGTCTGACAATTTTCTCTGACAGCTCCTGGGATAGAGGTCCTGGATGGCAGGGAGCTCGGCCCCAGTGATGTACTGGGCCGTATGCACTACCCTCTGTAGTGCCTTGTGTCTGATGCCAAGCATTTGCCATACCAAGCGAGGATACAACCAGTCAAGATGCTCTCAATGGTGCAGCTGTAGAACATTTTGAGGATCTGAGGGCCATGCTGAATCTTATCCGCCTCCTGAGGGGCTGAATGTGTTCTGTGCATGAAAACATTTTTTGGTTAGTGTGACATCATTGTAGTGTATGTGGTCTGGTTTGTTAGATGGGGTGACCCGTTGAAACTCATGAAAAACCGGCATATGAAACCCTAATAATAAGGCTTTCATTCTGTCAATTATAATTCAACAATCTAGCTTTTGGTGTTTGAAATGAATAGTTATTGGTAGTGTTTTAAAATATAATAACCATTCATGTAAACAGTTGTTATATTTTATGAAATCAGATTTATAGCACTGTCCCACTTCCCATGAATGGTGTTTGAATAGTGGGACAGGGATCTATAAAAATGCACAAAATGAACCTTTAATCAATTTAAATGTATTTTCCTTCATTAGATATTATATAATACATTGAAATATGTTGTTTTAGTTGTTCATAACATCTCTGAATCGATTTTTTATGCTATATAGGTGACAGCGGAAGGGATTAGAGGGAAATAATAAGATAGGAAAGGAAAGAAATGAAGCACATGACATGTAAGTAAGGGGGGGATAGAAAAGAGGCTACATTCATGAAAGGGGACTGAATTTGGGGGACAGTAGAGGTGTTTCAGGATCAAGTAAAAGCTGTGCAGACTCCTTTAGCTAGATTTTCACCAAGAGCCTGGAATGTCCCCAAATCAATTTTCCAAGGGCATGGAAAGGGTTTTGTAAAAAGGTTATTGTCACATTTTTGTAAAAACAGAGAGTGTGTTATCGGATCAAAATCTACAAGCTTCTACAAAGTCTTATTGATGAGTTCATAACAAGTGTGAGGTGAAGTAGGACACTAATGTAAGGTTATTATATTACAAAGTGGCATCAAACCGGCTATCTTAAGTAGCCTACAAAGTATTTTACTCTATTTGATATTTTGTATGTTTTATTGTTCCACTGCACTGCTTTTATGAATTGAAAACACTTATAAAACACTGTCCATCAATATATATAAATAAATGCTGCGAAATGACCTGCATTAAAAATGCATGGTGACGATGATACATTGTAACAATCAATGTTACGAGATGTACGACCTTGTACAATCAGCAAGTTGCAACAATGTATCTCTGACTATTTCAGAGTACGACGCTTTGCAGCAATCTGGAGCTGCAGACGGCAAGCTGTCGCTACGGCAACAACACATTCGCCAGTGATTGGTTCTTATCCTTACGAAAAGCACTGTAGCGCTATGGGGGAATCTGGAAAACGACTGAAATTTAGATGAATTGACAGAAGGCTTTGTCTGTCTTTTTACATTTCATGTTTATGAGAACTGAAGACATAGATAACGTTTTGTTGGAGACATGGCTGAGAAATTTGATAACCTCGAGGAGCATCTCGAGAAGTTCATTGAAAATATTCGACAGATGGGAATCATCGTTAGCGACTTCCAACCTAGCAGTCAAACAGGACTCAACCAAAAACTGTAAGTGATGATAGTTGGCTAGCTAGCTAGGTGTTTCTAGTATTACTAGCCATCATAGCTAGCCACTTAAATATCTGACTACTAACTCCCCAAGTTATCAATACACCACAGTTGTTTAAAAAATACTAATGGGTTAGCCAATGGCAATGCTAACTAGCCTCCACATAGCTAGCTAGCTAGTTAGCTACTTTGGTAGCTAGCTAGTACAGTCAATCAATGTCACAGACACACAGCAGGGTATAAAATACTTAACATAGTCAGCAATTAATCAGTTAATTAATCTAACTGTCAGTAATGTTGAGGTAGGTAGTTTTATGGTAGTTGTAGATTATTTTGCCTGCTAGTTGTTGAAATGTCTACTCGATCCTGTGCATTTTAGAAACTACATGATCACGGGACTGCAGGACATCGAGAAATGTCGCCAGCAGCTACATGAGATCAACGTTCCTCTCGAGGCTTTCGAGTGAGTAGACGTAACTACCAACTTATACATACACCGGCCATTTCTAGCTCTAGTTTACTGTGAGCATCATGTAACTTTTGAAAGCCTGGGGAAGTTATCCTCAGGAATACGACAAAATGGGTGGAGAGTACGGTGGAGTCTAGATGGAAACTAGTTACGCGTTGCCACTTCAAACCAATCACAGTTTGCATGGGTGGCACTGGAGCACCAAACAGATTGTGTTTTCTGAGAAAAAATCTGACGTGCAACAAGCGAGCATGCATGCATACTATACTAAACAAATGCTGCATAAGCTATAAGACTTTGTCTGACACGGTAGGAAAAGGGACACAGATAAAACAGGAATTGCCTCTCCTGAGGAGAAACTGAGTAGTTATTTATTCTCAGAGCCAATCAAATGCGAGTGTTGAATGCCAGCGCTCCCATTCAAATGCAAAATCCAATACTGAAGTTCTCCAGACTTCCAATAGTCGAGTCAACAAGATGAGATTTGGAACGATGGTGATGTGAGACTATGGTGAGCTTAACAGAAAGTCACCCTTGTACCAGCTCTTTCTCACCCTCAGACCTCCACTTGGCCACAGACCCTCCAGCCTAACTCAACCAATGTAATGGTTTGCCTTATGTTGTCAGATACATAGACCAGGGTCGTAACCCCCAGCTGTACACTAAGGAATGTCTGGAAAGGGCCCTGGCCAAGAACGAGCAGGTCAAAGGCAAGATTGACACCATGACGGTAAGTGGCAGTAAATTGAAGCCTAATAATGACATAGAAATAGATTCAAGAAATTACTTAATGACAAGTAGTCTTGGTTACACTTTACTCAAAGCCTGCTGGTATAATGCCTTAGGATTATAATGGATTGTAAGATGTGTCATAAGCATATATAATCCCCTTATACTGTTTTATTACCATCAGGACCATAATGGTTCTTGCTAAATAACAGTAATTAAACTTTAGCTTCAAACTCTGACCCCTCTGTTCTGTCTCTGGTTGCAGAAGTTCAAGAGCCTGCTGATCTCTGAGCTGGGCAAGGTGTTTCCAGAGGAGATGACCAAGTACAAGGCTATCCATGGAGATGACCCCCCATCATAGTGACCCCTGACCTTTAACCCTGGCCCCTAACCCCCACTGCTCAAAGCCACAGTGAGGTTTCACAGGGCAGGATCAATGAGTCAGCCAGATAACATGTATTAATATTCAGCGAAAGTGGGTTGTTGACATTAAGAAATAGCCTAGTCAGAGATAATGAGACAGCGGTAGAGGTAGTAGGAGGATAAATTATTTGTTTCTGATGTGGGAAGAGTAATGTGGCAAAAATGCTCCATGGAAGGGTCCAAAATATTGTGGACAAAAAAAAAAGACAATCATCATAAATGAGCTAGAGCTGAGGACTGGATAGTAAGAACTGGCAGCCAAGAACCTATTGCCTTTTTCAAGTTAATATTTTTGTTGTACTGGAAATATGGCATTTTCTCAGAATCTGATATCTGGCTAACTGTTTCCTCCTGCTGTGTGAGATCCCACCTACAAAATGTATATAATGTTTATACTCATACATAACCTTTTTGTAAAGATTAAAGATCATTGTACCACACTGCAGATCTGGACTGAGACTCAAGGTCAAGTAGCTAAAGGTATCTTGTACATGGTCAACAAACTAGTCCAGAGGTTTACAACACAACAAAACGTTGTTTTGATTGGATCTTGTTTTTCTTTTTGTTTATTTTGCAAATAAATGGGCTTGTGTTTGAAAGATTAGTGTGATATTACTGTCATGTTAGCGCCTTGTAGGCCACAATTCAGAAACAGGAACTTGATTTACAAAGTCTGTATAAGAGATAAAGGCCTCAATAATGTCCCATTCTATTCTTTCACCCAAAGGTCAATCACTATGGACATTACATTATCAGAGTTTGTGTTCAGTGGTTATTAAAGAAGGAAATGGAAGAAAATATTTTGAACCAACAGAGATATTCAATGTCTTTTTTTGTTTTCTACCCACCTACCAATAGGTGCCCTTTGCGAGGCATTGGAAAACCTCCCTGGTCTTTGTGGTTGAATCTGTGTTAGAAATTCACTGCTCGATTGAGGGACCTTACAGATAATTGTATGTGTGGGGTACAAAGATGAGGTAGTCATTCAAAATCATGTTAAACGCTATTATTGCACACGGAGTGAGTCCATGTGACATATGTGACTTGTTAAGGCCTCCTGTAGCTCAGTTGGTAGAGCATGGCGCTTGCAACGCCAGGATTGTGGGTTCGATTCCCACGGGGGGCCAGTATGAAAAATTTATGCACTCACTAACTGTAAGTCGCTCTGGATAAGAGCGTCTGCTAAATGACTAAAATGTAAATGTTAAGCAGATTTTTAGGCTTGTCATACCAAAGGGGTTGATTACTTATGGTCTCAAGACATTTCAGCTTTTAATTTAGAATTAATTTGTCATAATTTCTAAAAACATAAATCCACTTTGACATTATGCCAGTGACACAAAAGCTCAATGTAGTCCATTTTAAATTCAGTCTGTAGCACAACAAACTGCGGATAAAGCCAAGGGGTGTGAATACTTTCTGAAGGCACTGCAGGTATCGACTTCTCAGCCGATGAGGCTGCCATCAACCTTCACAATGCCCTGAGGTCACAGTTGATTAATTCCACTTAGGTTCTCCACAATGCAGGTGCGTGTATTTGTTCCTTGGATGCCTGGTTACTTAGTAGTTGGCGCGTAAATGACAGAGCCCTCAGTGCTCTTTAGTGACGCACAGACGTGACGATGCAACCTGTCCTTTGTGTCCTCAGGGGAAACGGGTGGCGTCATATGTGCGTGTACAGAGGGCAGGTAGGTGGCTGATGTCATCAAACGGACACTATTCTCTCTGCTTCTTTTCCTCATCTTCCTTCTCTTTCTCCTCATCTCTCTTCCTCCCCTACTTCGCTTTGTCCTTTACTTGTACTACGCCGTCAGCATCTCCTCTCCTCTTCTGGTGTATTTTCATCACCTGCTAACCTCTCCCATTTCTCAACAAGTTTTAAAGGAATTGTCAGTGACAACGCATCATAGGCCAGGAGTAAACCTTTCATCCCCAGCAACACAGGGAAAGGCAGAGCGAAAGGTTTTTAATGTAAATGTACTTTGGATGTTTTTGTTCAGTTTATTCTTATTCACTTTTTATTTCCGTTTGCGTACATAGATGAAAATAGGTGTGGCATTTCTCTAGCTGAATAGAGTGGTGCTGTGTGTGTGTGTGTGTGTGTGAATTCTTGTGAGATAAGTTTTACTTTCTTCCTCTACCTCCTCTTCATGTGCACTCAGGCTAGTCGCCTCCGAGGTGAACATCCTCGGCCGTTACCTAGGTTACCTACCTTCTCTCCTCCTCTCTTTTATGATGGCCACATTCCTTTTTATTTTATTTTTCTGTCTTCAGCATTCCCCCAGGAGTGAGACAGTAGCATTTTAAACACTGAATGCTATCTAGTTCAATGAGGGTACTGAAAAAAAAGTTGGCTCGGAGATTCGAACCAGCGAGCGACCCTTCAATTACTGACCAAACGATCTTAACCGCTAGGCTACCTACCGCTACCTACAATAGAGCCCCCCCACCTCAAACACACAAGAAACAGCCATCTCCTCCTCGATAAGGGTCAGAAGGCAGTCACAGTCCTTCTGTTACTATGGTAACACCCCTCCCCCTGTCCCCGGTCCCTGGCTAGATGCAGAGACAATGGCCCGTGCCTTGTGTGTGTTTAATTGCATATTCAGGGTGAAGTCAGTAGGTGTGTATTGCCCAGCTGTGGTGTGTATTTGTTATTCATATTAGAGCCCTAGAGGACAATGGAGGCAGCCAATAGAATCAGCTTTGATGAGACCGACACACACACACACACACCAGCCTTAGAATAGAAGGTCATCAGGTCACCTGAGAGGCAGTGAGGATCTCTAGGATCACTTTACCTATTCAGTTACCAGTAGTAGAGACAGCTAGAATGACAGTTACCTAGTACGTCTATGGTTAATTTACACACTAGCTGTTAACATGAAGGAAAAGGACACCTCTACCATGGCACCATTCTGAAATGTCCTTGCTTAGAGGAGAGCGGGGGAGAGCGAGAGAGAGATCTGACTAAAAATACTTTAATCAGTTATAGAACCCATTGCCCTTTATGGTTGTGAGGTCTGGGGTCCACTCACCAACCAATAATTCACAAAATGGGACAAACACCAAATAATAAATAATGCATGCAGAGCAGAATCAGGCCGATACCCGTTAATGATCAAAATCCAGAAAAGAGCCATTAGATTCTATAACCACTTAAAAGGAAGCAATTCCCAAACCTTCCATAACAAAGCCATCACCTACAGAGAGATGAACTTGGAGAAGAGTCCCCTAAGCAAGCTGGTCCTGGGGCTCTGTTCACAAACACAAACAGACCCCACAGAGCCCCAGGACAACAACACTTTTAGACCCAACCAAGTCATGAGAAAACAAAAAGAGAATTACTTGACACATTGGAAAGAATTAACAAAAAAACAGAGCAAACTAGAATACTATTTGGCCCTAAACAGACAGTACACAGTGGCAGAATACCTGACCACTGTGACTGACCCAAACTTAAAGAAAGCTTTGACTATGTACAGACTCAGTGAGCATAGCCTTGCTATTGTGAAAGGCCGCCGTAGGCAGACCTGGCTCTTAAGAGAAGACAGGCTATGTGCACACTGCCCACAAAATGAGGTGGAAACTGAGCTGCACTTGCCAAATGTATGACCATATTAGAGACACATATTTCCCTCAGATTACACAGATCCACAAAGAATTTGAAAACAAACCCAATTTTGATAAACTCCCATATCTACTGGGTGAAATACCACAGTGTGCCATAACAGCAGCAAGATTTGTGACCTGTTGCCACAAGAAAAGGGCAACCAGTGAAGAACAAACAACATTGTAAATACAACCCATATTTATGCTTATTTATTTTCCCATTTGTACTTACAACACTGTATACAGTGGGGAGAACAAGTATTTGATACACTGCAGTTTTTGCAGGTTTTCCTACTTACAAAGCATGTAGAGGTCTGTAATTTTTATCATAGGTACACTTCAACTGTGAGAGACGGAATCTAAAACAAAAATCCAGAAAATCACATTGTATGATTTTTAAGTAATTCATTTGCATTTTATTGCATGACATAAGTATTTGATCACCTACCAACCAGTAAGAATTCCAGCTCTCACAGACCTGTTAGTTTTTCTTTAAGAAGCCCTCCTGTTCTCCACTCATTACCTGTATTAACTGCACCTGTTTGAACTTGTTACCTGTATAAAATACACCTGTCCACAAACTCAATCAAACAGACTCCAACCTCTCCACAATGGCCAAGACCAGAGAGCTATGTAAGGACATCAGGGATAAAATTGTAGACCTACACAAGGCTGGAATGGGCTACAAGACCATCGCCAAGCAGCTTGGTGAGAAGGTGACAACAGTTGGTGCGATTATTCGCGCAAATGGAAGAAACACAAAATAACTGTCAATCTCCCTCGGCCTGGGGCTCCATGCAAGATCTCACCTCGTGGAGTTGCAATGATCATGAGAACGGTGAGGAATCAGCCCAGAACTACACGGGAGGATCTTGTCAATGATCTCAAGGCAGCTGGGACCATAGTCACCAAGAAAACAATTGGTAACACACTACGCCGTGAAGGACTGAAATCCTGCAGCGCCCGCAAGGTCCCCCTGCTCAAGAAAGCACATATACAGGGCTGTCTGAAGTTTGCCAATGAACATCTGAATGATTCAGAGGAGAACTGGGTGAAGGTGTTGTGGTCAGATGAGACCAAAATCGAGCTCTTTGGCATCAACTCAACTCGCCGTGTTTGGAGGAGGAGGAATGCTGCCTATGACCCCAAGAACACCATCCCCACCGTCAAACGTGGAGGTGGAAACATTATGCTTTGGGGGTGTTTTTCTGCTAAGGGGACAGGACAACTTCACTGCATCAAAGGGACGATGGACGGGGCCATGTACCGTCAAATCTTGGGTGAGAACCTCCTTCCCTCAGCCAGGGCATTGAAAATGGGTCGTGGATGGGTTTTCCAGCTTGACAATGACCCAAAACACACGGCCAAGGCAACAAAGGAGAGGCTCAAGAAGAAGCACATTAAGGTCCTGGAGTGGCCTAGCCAGTCTCCAGACCTTAATCCCATAGAAAATCTGTGGAGGGAGCTGAAGGTTTGAGTTGATAAACGTCAGCCTCGAACCCTTAATGACTTGGAGAAGATCTGCAAAGAGGAGTGGGACAAAATCCCTCCTGAGATGTGTGCAAACCTGGTGGCCAACTACAAGAAACGTCTGACCTCTGTGATTGCCAACAAGGGTTTTGCCACCAAGTACTAAGTCATGTTTTGCAGAGGGGTCAAATACTTATTTCCCTCATTAAAATGCAAATCAATTTATAACATTTTTGACGTGCGTTTTTCTTGATTTTTTTGTTGTTATTCTGTCTCTCACTGTTCAAATAAACCTACCATTAAAATTATAGACTGATCATGTCTTTGTCAGTGGGCAAACGTACAAAATCAGCAGGGGATCAAATACTTTTTTCCCTCACTGTACATAATATGACATTTGAAATGTCTTTATTCTTTTAGAACTTCTGAGTGTAATGTTTACTGTTAATTTTGTTTTGTTTATTTCACTTTTGTTTAAATTGAGCCCTTAAATTGAAATTGAATTGAGAGAGAGAGAGAGAAACATTCAAACAGAGAGGAGATGAGAGAGAAAGGAGACAAGCTAGATGAAAGAGAGGGGGATTGAGAGAGAAAGGAGAGGAGAGAGCTGGGAAAGAGAGGGGGATTGAGGGAGAAAGGAGAGGAGAGAGATGGGGAAAGAGAGGGGGATTGAGAGAGAAAGGAGAGGAGAGAGATGAAAGAGAGGGGGATTGAGAGAGTGACTGAGAGAAATGGGGAGAGAGATACTATGCCTAGGGGGTGTAGTATTGTCCAGTGAGGAGGATGGGACACTAAACGTTAAATTAAACCTATAAATTACCAGTTAGCTGTCGTCTGCACACCCAGACTCCACTGATAAATCACATTACTGTCAAACAAAGCAATACTGTGTAGGAGAAAGTGACTGATTGCACCTTTATTGTTACAAATGGTACTAATACATGGAAGGATATCTTTATTTCAGGATTGTGCCTGCTCTATCAGTATTTCTAACAATTTTTTTCTCTCCTCCACTCCTCTCCTCTCTCTCCTTGACAATCCTCTCTCTCTCCCTCCCCATCCCTCTCTCCACCCTGCCCAATGGTCCCCATTTAATCTACAATCAGAGAGATTTGCTAAGGAGCAGTGTGTGCAGGGTGAACCAAAGGAGAGAGGGAGGAGGAGGAGGGGAGAGACAGTCAGACACAGAGGGAGAGGTTGTAAAATGAGAGAGAAAGAGAATGTATAAAAGGATCCTATAATTTCCCTCTGGTTTAATTATCTACCTTTGTAGACAGCTCTGCTCGCTCCCTCTCTCCCTCTGTGTGTGTGTGTGTGTGTGTGTGTGTGTGTGTGTGTGTGTGTGTGTGCGTGCGTGTGTGTGTGTGTGCGTGTGTGTGTGCGCTCGATTGTATGTGTGTGTGTGTGTAGGTGTTAGGACGCTGCTCCCCGTATCGGCATTAAGTGTGGTTTAATAACACTGAATGGTCTGCGTTTGCAGCACCTGTCATTGTAAGAGCGTTGTGCCAGTAACCGAAAGGTCGCTGGTTCTAATCCCCGAGCCGACTAGGTGAAAAATCTGTCGATGTGCCCTTAAGCAAGGCGCTTAACCCTAATTGCTGATGT